AGTGCATTAACTCGTGCCCTAGAGGACATTCTCAATTATTTGCCGATCGCGAATGAAAGCATTCTGGCCCTCTGAAACAATCTGAGGAAGGAAACCAGCTAGCCTTTCAGCCATAATTTTAGTGATAATTTTGTAAACAAACTGGCAAAGACTAATGGGGCGGAGCTGCTTCATGGTCTCAACATTATCAACCTTCGGGATCAAAGTCAGCCAGGTATGATTAAAGCTGCGGAGCAATCTGCTAGTCGAAAAGAACGAGCAGACCGCCGCAATCACCGACTCACCCACAATATCCCAGAATGCTTTAAAATTTTTTCCGGTGAAGCCATCCGACCCAGGTGCCCATTTCAATCCCATGGAGAAACCCGTCTTTCGGACCTCGCTGGGAAGGACCTCGGCAGTGAGGCTAGCATTCATAACATCAGTAACACGCTATGCTATGAGAAGATCAGCTACCCCATTAGTCATATCAAGCACCTGATTTTCAGAAGTAAAGAGAGTTTGGTAAAAATCCGTGGCCACATCAGCCTTCCCTCTCTCATCCGTGATCCATTCCCCCGCATTATTATGGAGGCCAGCCACAAAATTCTGTTTTCCACGAGCCCTAGTGACCGTATGAAAGTACGAATGAATTCTTGTCACCCTTCTTAAGCCACTGGACCCTCGATTTTTGCTTCATGGCTACACCATTTAAAACAATGTTATCGAGCTAGAGCTAATTAACATCTCCTATAAACATTAACTAAACTAAGCCAACTAAATTATTAAAATTAACTTAGTAATAGCAAACAAAACGACATGGACTTGGACTGAACTTGATTTAGATATCTTCATGATGAAGCAGGACACCTTTTTACATCCCGTGAAAGTTGAAACCAAGTCCTCCTTGCTCCTTGTCAAATTACTAAAGAAAAAAACAATAATAACTTGATCCCAAAAAATTAAATTACAATCATCAAACCATCTGAACGGACCTCGACGCATCAGCGTCGTACAACGAGTTGGTATACCTCCGCCCTTGCCCGTCGTCGTACGGCGACTTCTCCTCGCTCACCGTCGCCATCGAGTTCTCATACCTCCTACCGCCGCCGTACCCGGCCACAAACTCCACCGGCAGCCCGCTCTTCGGGTTGAACGAGTACACATAGCTTTGGTCCTCCTGATTATCCTTGCCCCCGTACGCCGCTGGCCCCACATCCTTGGAGTTCTCGAAGCTTCTCGAAGCATAATTCTCGTACGGCGAGCCAGGCTTGGAGTAAGTACTCCCCAGCCCCACCGAGCTGCCGGATCTCGCCACGCCACCCGCCGCCGCCGCCTCGCCCTCCCCCCACAGCGCGAACCCTTCCTCGCCGTGGGCGGCGTAGTCGCCGACGTACAGCTTGTCCTCCGACATCCTCAGCGGCACCAGCAGCCCGACCAGCCAGCAGATGGCGCTGGTGACGACGACGTTGAGGCCCGCGATGAAGAGCAGCCCCGCGGCCTGGACGCCCAGCTGGCGGAACCCGGCGGAGGCGTGGTTGTTCTGGAGGGCGTAGGCGAGGCCCGTGTAGCGCTCCCAGTCGGGCACCATGAAGAAGAGGCGGCAGAGCTTGGGGACGGCGAGGATGCCGGTGAGGATGCCGCCGAGTCCCCCCGCGACGGCGTGGGTGTGGAAGATGGCCATGGGATCGTCGACGTGGGTGAGGAAGGCGAGGCGCTTGTGGAGGACCATCATTGTGTACCACGGGATGCTTCCGGACACTACTCCCATTATTACTGCTGCCCACCCTTGCACCACACCTGCTCCATTGTCAACAAGAAACATGTGTTATACGACATTTTAATCGTAGTTCAACTGTTTCATATACTTAGACCTAGAAATCACATATTCGAATTTCTAGTATTTCGGATCTGACCAACCGTCGGATACTTTCTAAGAAAATACGGTATGTTTATGGTGGGGGTAATAGAATTAAATTAATTTAGTTACCTGCGGCAGGGGTGATGCAGACGAGGCCGGTGATCATGCCCTGGACGGCGCCGATGACGGATGGCTTGCCGAAGAAGATGCAGTCGAGGAGCAGCCACATCAGCAGGCTGACGGAGGTGCACACGTGTGTGTTTAGGACGGCGAGGGACGCGTCGATGCTGGCCGCAAAGGGTCCGCCGCCGTTGAACCCGCTCCAGCCCATCCACAGCAGCCCCGCTCCGGCCAGCGTCAGGATTATGTTGTTCGGCGGGAACTTCTCCCTGTCCTTGTCTAACCTCGGCCCCACCTATATACATATATATTTCGCCGGCAAATAAACAAATTAATACAACCCCTAATTATGCACTTTAATATCTCAATTACAGTCCAATGAAATGACTTATTCCAACCACAAATTGTAACATGATGTATAGTTACATGAAAGTAAGTTTTACACTTTTACTTGTGCATTACTTTACTACACTAAACTTGAGAAAAAGGACAAGAAGAGAGCGTACACTAGGCTAGGCCTTACCCAAAACGACGCCGTGATGCCGGCGAAACCAGCGGAGACATGAATCACGTAGCCGCCGGAGAAATCAATGATCCCCAACTTGGCCAGCCACCCGTCGGGGCACCAAACGCTAAAGGCGCCCACCGTGTACGAGAACGTGAGCCAAAGCGGCACAAACATGGCCCAAGCCAGGAAATTCATCCGGCCCAGCAGACTCCCGGCCACCAAAACCAACGTAATGCAGGCGAAAACCCCTTGGAAAAACACCATGGTGGCGTTGGGGAAGTTCCCCAGAAACGCCTTCCTCAGCAGGAAGTCCTCGTCCAGGGAGGTCCCCGGGCGGCCCCAAAACGGCAGCATCTTGTCGCCGAACGACATGCGGTATCCCCACCCGACCCAGCACACCATGACGGCGGCGAAGGCGTAGAGGGCCATGAAGGCCGAGTTGACGGCCCATTTCTTCTTCACCAGGCTGCCGTAGAGGATGACCAGGCCCGGGATTGTCTGGAGGCCCACGAACGCCGCCGCCGACAGCTGCCACGCGTTGTCGCCTTTGTTTAGCCACTCTGGGTTCGCCTCGTCGGGGACCAGGTTCGGAGGGAGCATGGCTTGCTCCATTAATTGCTTGATGTCTCTGTTATATTTCGCGGTGGTCTTTGAGTTGGTTTATAGTGGAATGTTGGGAAGATTTGAGAATGGCCGGCTAAGGGAGGCACAAAGGAAAATTTTGTCTTTTTTTCTTTCCTTTTTCGTTGTGGTTGTTGTTGTTGCTGTTGATAGATACGGCATGATTATAAATTTATAATAGTTATTTATGGTGAAAGTGAACTTATATATGTTGAATGATTCTAAAAAAATATTTGGCGGAATATCCAAAACTTTTGGTGGGTTGTGACAAGCAACGAAGCTCGCCAAGTATAATCTTTGTGAAAGATTTTGGGATATACGAGACAAATCAATTTAATTGGTGATTCTGCTGCTAAAATAAATGGGAGGTGGTGAATTAACTGGCCTTTTTAGTCATTCGATCGCATATTGAATGGCCTTTTTAGCTCATTATGGTATGCATGTATTTAAAATTATGAATTTTTGATTGAATATATGAAAAAAAAATGTAATTACATATCTAAGCACATCTTATTATAAGCAATCAAGTAGTTGAATTGAAGACAAAAGGATAAGCCAGCTGCAGTGGTGGAGTCAGGAGATCGAAATAGGTGTGTGCTATAAATATATGAACAAATATTTTAGAAAGTTAATATTCATGTACCTAATTCATTCGTCTAAGAAAACCAAAATATATTAATACAAGTTTCTTTCTCTATAAACAACAATGACTCCAGAGTAGATGATGGGTTGAATTAATTAATTAAAGCTTTTAAAATGGGGATGCTATATATGATTGCAACATCGTCAATCAATATCAGTATCTCCGGTGATCATCTAAAATTCCCATATGGAGGATTGAGCAATAAGATGAGGACAAGTAAAAGTTGAGTGACAGACAATGCAGGCTTTGGATCCTACATATGGACAGAGATGGCACTGGCTTCCAAGGGTAGTAGGTCCAAATTACATTGTTGTGTTGGCCGTCCAAGGAATGCACAAGTTGTAATTGTAACACTAATTTTATTCCTTCAACCGCAGGCTTACTTGATACGTGCAATTTGCCAATGAGAAGTGCATGTGTCCAATAAATGGGCCTTATCATCAACGAGCATTTTGGGCTTCATGTTAGAAACCCACGGTGAGTATGTAAGTTTGGGCCCACTCTCTTCTGAACTTTAGGATGGCTTTATCAACTGAACTTGAATCTGTAGACTGAAAGAAGAGGGCGGGGTCTTGGGCTGCGCAGAACTACCAAAATGAAAAAAAGCCTTTTTTTTAGGAAGACAGGACGTCATTGCATCCTAAATCGTATTAATAATAGAACGATCCATGGAGATTGCCATGGAATCATACAAGAGCCAGTTACACAAAGTTGGATCGTATACATTGCAAGGATGTGTACCAAAAGTGGCCTCGTGGCCTTTGCTTGCCAAATAATCGGCAGCAAAATTCCTCTCCCTATAAACATGGGATACAGAAACATCCCAATCCAAATAAAAAACTTTCCGATCCGAGCAGCAATAAGACCGTGGCGATGGTCTTGGTCCAGGTGGTTCTTCATGATGGTGACGGCTGTAGATGAATCCAGCTTGAGTTCCACCTTGCGGAATCCCATTCCCACGCTCGATGGAGGCCAATCTCACCTCCCTTCAGCTTAGACATGGTGATTGTGCAGTGTCCCAGGTTTCATACAAAGGCCTCCAGGCAGTGCCCAAGGTTGTTGCGGATTAACCCCCTGCAGCAGCATTGCCTAACTCGGATCGGACCGACCCATCAGTCCGGATTTGTACCCATCCCTCACGAGGCGGTTTCCACGTAATGGGTGAGAAGATGTAATGGTTCTTTGGCATCAGTATGCACCTTTCGTCATTGATTCTTGCTTGTTCATACACACAAACCCACGAACAGATTCTGCTTATGAGGTCGGCTTCAAAGTATCTTTTTCCATCCATCACCTCTTCGTTTCTCTGCTTCCAGATCAGCCAGCAAGCAATGCCAAATCTGAACCCCCCCATTCTCTTCTCTAATATTGTCCATCATCCATTGATTGAAGTTCCTCAAATCGTGTGGCTGATGGTCAATCTTCAGGAATCGCCTTACTCCTTCTGTCTTCCTGCAATGTCTGAGAATATGTTCAGTAGTTTCGATCTCACCATCACAAGCTTTGCAGTTTGTGTCTGATGTCATGTTTCTGGTTGCTCGTTCATAGTTGGTGAGAAGCCTGTTGTGCAGAACGAGCCAGAGAAAATGTTTCACTCTGCTTGGTCCCTTCCATTTCCAGAGCTCTTTCCATCCCAGTTCAGGATCGTTCCCAGTCTCATTGGAAGCAAGGAGGTAGGCTGACTTGAACCTGAACCTGCCATCCCTTTCCAGTCCCCAAATCGTCGTGTCCTCTCCCAAATCCCGAGCTGGTGTCTCCATTCCTTCAATACAACAAAGGATATCATTAGGAAGGAGAGATTTCAGGTGTCTCCAGTCCCACTCACCTTTGTCATCAACCATTTCAGCCACAGTCATTGATTGCTCCTCCTTTGTTAACGCTCTAAGGCAGTGTTCTCCCAGGACAGTTTCATGATCGATCCAATGATGATTCCAGAAATCGGTTGTTCTGCTGTCTCTAATGCTCCACACTGTGGCTTGTTGCATCAGTGGGAATGCTTTACGAATGCCCCTCCATAAACTGGAGTGATTGATGCTCTTCATTCCCACTATCCTCCCTTCTCGTTGGTGGAAATACTTCCCCTGCATCACTCTCACCCATAGCTCAACCTTGTTGTTGAGGATCCTCCATGCCAGTTTCACCATGTAGGCAAGGTAGAGGCTGCGAGCTGATCGCAAACCAAGTCCTCCTTGCTGTTTTGGTCTACAAACCTTTTCCCAGGAAACCAGATGGACCTTCCTCTTTCCTTCCTGTGATCCCCAAACAAACCATCAAATTCTGCTATCAATCTCATCACAGATAGAAGCAGGTAACATGGTCGTTTGCATAGCATAGGTTGGGAGCGCATTTAAAACAGATAAGGCAAGAGTAACTCTCCCAGTAAGGGAGAGGGTCTTAGCCTTCCACATTGTGAGTTTCTTGTCCATCTTCTCGAGAATATACTTGTAGCTGCTCTTTGAGATTCGTCCATGGAGGACATGAACCCCCAGGTATCTTCCAAGGTCATCTGTTTCTTGAATCCCCAACTTGTGGCAGATCTCTCTTTGAACAAGCGTTTTAGTGTTTTTGGAGAAGAGAACCCTTGACTTTTCCCGGATGATCAGCTCCCCAGATGCATTGCAGAAGTCCTCAACGCAGCTCATGACAACATCAGCCTGTCTCGGATTAGCTTCTGCAACAACACGAGGTCGTCAGCGTAGAATAAGTGGGAAAGGGGCGGACCTCCTGGTGATAGGTAGAGAGGCTTCCAGTTCCAATCTGTCACAGCTTTTTCAATTCAGTGACTGAGTCTTTCAATGCAAAGGGTGAAGAGGTACGGTGACAGAGGGCATCCTTGGCGGAGTCCCCTGCTTGGAGAGAAGCATTCAGTTTCCCCGCCATTCCAGAGCACTTGCAACTTAGTAGAAGAGACGCATTGCATAACAATAGACACAAAGGGGGTTGGGAAGCCAGTCAGGATCAAGGTCTACTCAAGGAAGCTCCACGAGATACGATTATATGCTTTTGCAAGATCGATCTTCGGAAGCATCATGCCTTTCTTGCCTGATCTCCTAGCCATTGTGTGCACTGTTTCCTGAAGAATCAGAATATTGTTAAAAATGTGGCGCTTAGGAACAAAACTTGTTTGGTTCTGTTTCACTAATTTGGCCATAAATCCCTTGATCCTGTTCGCAAGACATTTTGTCACAGTCTTGTACCCCACGTTACATAGACTGATGGGTCTGAAATCAACCATGGAGTTGGGGGTATCAATCTTGAGGATAAGCATCAATATGGTCTCATTGATTGATCGAATGCGACTACTATTGAGGAAGCAGTCCTGAATAAACCTGCAAAAATCACCACCAACATTATCCCAACATTTCTGGAAGAAGAGGGCATGGAAGCCATCTTTTCCAGGAGCCTTGAGCCCATTCATATCTTTGATGACTGCTCTTATCTCATCGTTGGATGGTGGGAGGGTGATCCTATTGAGAAGACCCTGATTGATCTGGGGGAAGAGGTTAGGAATGGCGGCACAAGGCTGGTGGGAGTTAGTAGTGAATAATTTCATATAGAAATCCCTTGCCATCTCCACCAGGATTGTCGGATCAGAGATCCAGCTTCCATAATCCACTTTGAGGTAGGTAATCCGATTTCTTCTCCTTCTAGACTTGGTGCTTGTGTGGAAGAATCGAGTATTCTGATCCCCAAAAAGGAACTAGTTTGATCAAGACTTCTGTAGCCACAAGATCTCCTCCTGCCATAGAGTTTCTTCAAGCTCTTCTCTGATCTGTTGCTCCATAGCGAGCGAGCTTCTACTCTTGGATGACTCGTTGAATTTTTCAATCCTCTACAGGCGGCTAGCAAGCTGTCTTTTCCTTTTGAAAATGTTACCAAAGATTTCCTTATTCCAAGCTTGGAGCTTCTCAGAGAGTGCCTGCAAGGAAGAAGGGAAATCATGGCAGCAATTCCACAAATCTGAAAGAAAGGGGAAAGAACTCAGGGTGAGCAATCTAGGGAGCGAGAAATTGGAAGCGTCTCACCCGTTTAGTATTGTCACATTGCTCTTTGTTGCTGGTGAGGATGGGACGATGATCGGACTTGAGTTTGATCAGATGCAAGGTGGAGGAAGAAGGGAATTTCTGGATCCACTCCAGGTTACAAAGACTTCGATCCAATCGTTCCCTGATTCTGGACATTTTGGTGAACCAAGTGAACTTAGGCCCAGGGAACCCAATGTCAACAAGACTGCATTCATTGATGCAGTCATTGAAGTCCCTGACCTTGGCCTGGCAGAAGGGCGCTCCACCCATCTTCTCAGAAGGCCCTGTAATCGAGTTGAATTCGACCGTAAGCAACCAAGGAACTCTAGTTCTTCTCCCAATGTTCTTGAGATGCTGCACAAATCTTTACAATCGTGCTCATTAGGACTAGCATACACAGTTGTGATCACCCCCACCACTTGGTTGCCACTCCAGTATCTCATATGGATAAACTGTTTCTGACAATCAATGAGTTCCAGGTTGATCTGCTGGCTAATCCAAAGAACCTAGATACCCCCGCTGAATCCAGAGGCATCAGAAATTTCCCATGAATCAAAACCTAAGGTCTTGATGACATCCAAAGTGTCTTTCCCACTAATTCGTGGTTCAAGGATACATACCACATTAGGGGAATTAGCAGCTCTATACAAATCGAGTGTGGGTTTGAACTTTTGGTGCTTCGCACCACTGCAATTCCAGGAGAGGATCTTTATCATTAAAACTGAGGAAGATGAATCTCCTAAAACACCCCAGGAGTTGGAATCAACATGTATCGGCAGCCATGGCCGTCGCTCCATTTTCTTTCCTGCTCTCTGTCTTAACAGAGGAGATCACATTGATGTTTTTCTGTTCTCCTGCTGGCACATTGGCTTGACCAAATGATATCCTCCTAGGGGGAATTGTGTCTTCCTGCTGGCCACCATTGGCACTTCCACAGATCACTCGTTCCTGGTTTCTTGGGGTGATCTGTTTCGTGCGGCTATCATTACCACTAGTGGATTCATCTGGGGGGTTTCTTTTGTTTGTGGTCATCCTTAGAGGTGGGCGTTGAAGAGAGATATGTCCCCTGTTTTGGTGTGCCCACAGCTCCCCCTTTCTTGACATTGTCCCCATTTCCCTGTCATAACCCGAGGGTGCCATTAGAGGGAGTCAGGGTGCCTTTGCTGGTCAATTTGGATGTGGATGCTGACTTGAGGGCTTCGGGTGACTCCTTCTGGTTCTCCTTTCTATTGTCAGTGCCCTGTTTCTGCTTCTGTTTACCATCTGCTTTATTCTTCAGTTGGCTCTCCTTGTCTTTGTCTTTGTCTTTCCCTTTCTTCACTTTCTCCTTCTGACCATCAGTCTTCTTTTGTGTCTTGGCATCTCCCTTTGGCTGAGGTTTGGAAGCAGCATCCTCACTGGGATTATCTCTTGCATTTTCAGTGATTTCGACTTCCTCCATCACCTCTTCCAGAAGGGAGCTAAAACGTGATCCTGTTGGCGCGACATCGGCTTGTTTACTGCCCTCTCCTTCCCCTTCCTTGTTCGGGTGCCTTCTCTGTGGTTGTTTCTTCCATTTAGTTCTGGTGGCTAACATCCATGGCCCGAATTCTTCGAGGATCTCCGGACGAATTTCCTGCTTTTTACTCATCTCTTCGTTTTTCTCACTTTGCTCCTCCTTCCCTGATTTGTTCTCAGGGCAATCTTCCTCAAGATGCCCAAATTTTCCGCAGGAGAAGCAGACCGTGTGTAGGCCTTCGTATTCAATTCGTCTCACATTGCGTTTAATCCTGTACTTTGAAACCAACCTTTTTTGAAGGTCGATTTCAATACAGATTCGGGCATAGTTGCCTCTGACCCCATTGGCAGTATTGAATTCGATCTTCTCGAGCCTTCCAATATTGTTCCCAATATCAGTAAAGTCTCATGGTCAAAGTAAGCAAGTTGGAGTCTTGGAAGCCTTACCCACACTGTCGTTCTGTCGATCGTGTCGAAGTTTGGGTCGAAATCGATCCTCCATGGTTCTGAGACAATGTAGTAGTCCTCCATCGTCCATGGCCCGCCGTAGAGGGCTCTGTCCTGATCTAGCTGGGAGTCGAAGGTTGCCTAGAAATAGCCATTGCCCACATCACTGATGTGGACGCCCCCTGTTCTGGCCCAGAGTCTCTAGGTTCTTCGTTGGACGAAGGCGAAAGGGAAGCTTTTCCCCAGGATTCGAAAGGTAATGGCTCTCTAGAACTTCTGGCAAATTTTGGCAACTGTTCTCTTCTCGATTCGAATAGTAGGGCATTCCGTGTCGTCATCAGCATCTTCGTTATCAGACTCATCCGACATGAGTTCATCCCCTTCTTGAATGTCGATTGGTGGGCCATTTCTGAGCATTCGGTCTTTGTAAGACGATTGGATGCATTTTGAGGATCCCTCTCCCCCTTTGAGCGGCTGAGTCTTTGCCCCTTCCTGACTCTTGATAACCACATCTTCATCGGAGCTATCTGCCTCATATGTTACAGTTACCACGGCAACATCCATCTCTCCCTGTCCACCGAAGCCAGCGTTAGAGGTCGATTTTGACTTTTTGGTGGGTTGGGCAGGCGATCCCGACGGCAAATTCGGCGGTTCCCTGCTTCTAATGGTCGTCTCATCCGTTGGAGACATTGCTCTAACGGTCAAAGGGGAAAGAAAACTAGGAGAGAGTGCAGAGGGTACTTCTCTCTAACTTTACTCTCTCTCTCTCTCTCTCTCTCTCTCTCTCTCTCTCTCTCTCTCTCTCAACCCTTCGGTTCTCTTCTAAAAAAAGCCTTCGTTGATCTAATGGCAAAAAAAAAAAGCCTTCATGTTAAAGATTGCCTGGCCATTGGTGACGGAGCCATGCAGTTTTTGGGCCTGAACTATCATTATCAAAATATTTATGAGCTATGGAAGTAGGATGGAGGTCACGGGTGAATGGAAGGCTGTCCCAACTTGTAACGGGAAATCATAAGGAAGCAGCATCTCATACCACAAGGTATAACGTGGAACATAAAAAACGGACAACAAACAACATTCTGGACCGATCGTTGGCTTCAGGACAGACCGCCATCAGTTTAGTTTGCGGAGAATTTTTTTAAGGCGGTATGGAGTTCAACTGTTGGCGAGCTCGTTCTGAATGAGAATTGGGATATAGACTATCTTCGGGCTTTCCTTCCAGAGCAGATGATAATGCATATACGCAGATAAAAGCACATTTCTATGTAAAATCGTTTTGGTGATATGGAAGAGTAAAATCGTAAGCTTTTAAACTTAAAAGCGCGGTTTTAACTACAATAGTTATAAAAATGTGATTCTGCATATAAACTTTTTGGTGACCTAAAAAGTAAAAACGTAAGTTTTTAAACTTAAACCGCGATTTTGCCTACATTATACAGCTTCATCCTGTTCCCCAGGAGCCTGGAGCGGCCACACCAAGCTGGCGGTTGTCAGCTTCTGGTGAGTTTTCGATCAAGTCAACTTACCAGCTACTTCGAGCAGGAGAGGTGGAGGGTGGCCATAACTATCCTGTGTGGACAGCCTGGAGCACACGAAAACCTTCCTCCGGTTGGTTTTGCATGGCCAGTTGCTCACGAAAGGAGAAAGACGATGTCTACACTTAGCTCAAGGAGATAACTGCCATATCTGCGACAATGGACTAGAGACTCTAATCCATGTAATACGAGATTGCCCATATGCCCACGCAGCTTGGTCGAAAGTGTTAATGGATGAACCGGATGCGGTCTTCTTTGAGAATGATATTGATAAGTGGATGTTGCACTACCTTGCAGATCAGAGCAATACAATATGTTTATCCCTTTTTGCTATCTTTTGCTGCAAACTTTGACAGAACAGGAACCTCTGGGTATTTGAGAAGAAGCTCGCAACTATCAACCAACTCGTTCACCATATCAAGAAGCTTAGAAGACAAGTGGATCTTGCCTGGTCGAGGTGGTGACAAGTGTTGGGAGAAGGTTTGGGACTCGTTCAACGACTGATCAGCTGGCAGGAACCCCTGGATGGATGGACTGTTTCAATACCAATGGATTAGTAATAGGAGCGTAGGGGGGCCGGACCGCGGATGGTGGCGTACTTAGGGGAAGTGATAAAAGATTTATTAAAGCTTTTTTGCAGTCAATTTTGGAGGAGGATCCATTACACATGCCGAGTTAGCAGGGATGGTTCATGGTCTTTGAATGGCTTGGAACAAAGGGCTAGGTAAGATTGTTTTACAAACTGATTCAATTGCATGGATTGATCTTATCCACTCGGCCCCTATACGCAACCCTCACCATATTTTTGTGTCCGAGGTGAGAAAGCTTATATAGTTGAATTGGAAGGTTCAACTTATCCACGTGTTTCGTGAGAGCAACTTTATTGCTGATTATTTGGCCTCTGTAGGCCATTCATTATCTGTTGGAGTTCATTTTTACGATTAACCGAGCCTGCTTTGAGATATTGGTTGTATTTTGATAGGATTAGAGTCCAAACGATTCGCTTAGTTAATACTTAAGGGTTAGAGCGCCCCTCTGCGCTTTGTTTCTCACAAAAAAAATTAACATAAATTTTTTATTTGAAATAAAAAAGCTGTATTATACAATATACATAGCTCGTACCCAAATAATATGTTTTGTTGGTTGATAATGATTTTTGTTTACGTGGTTGGTTTTATTAGAATAGAAAACAAGATAATGTAATGCATTAAATATGTAAGGGTAAAATAGTAACATGAAAATGATTCGTTTAAAAATAATTACATTGATAAATACCTACATTATCGAATATCTATAGTTTTCAAATGTCTATATTTAAATAAATTACTCATTTTGAAACTACATCAAGTAATAATTTTGTTCATAATAGTGCTGGTGTACAAGAGCTCAGTTTTGACAAATTTCTCACATACTAGCACTTGAGATTAGATCAGCTACTCCACTTAGGGATGACACTGGGACAAATCCAGTCATGGTCCTCCCACTACTCGAAAAATCCAACCCTATATGGTCAAACATCCAATATGGCCCGAATTAACCTTGTCTGACCCGTACGAGTCGGGTCTGGTTACAAGGTCAACCAGTTTATATTAGTTCACTTAACCCATTTAGTCCTCTTTATTTAAGTCCATATTTTTTTACAATTTTAGCATAGTCTAATTTAAATTTAAAACTAATTAAAATCTTAGCTTAGTTTAAAATGGAATTCCGATATTCGAAATCAAATGGGGACCAATTTATGAATGATTGTCTAGTTACATTCATGGAAAATCGATGAATCGATGTAATTTATAAATTAAAAGTTTTGAATCAATTTATTATTATTATTATTATTATTTATTTTTGTGAATACCGTTGATAAAATTTCTGGGTCCGCCACGGTGCAAATTATTCTTCAATCCTTGTCATAGGGTCCATTTCCTGCTAAATCAAGTAGTAGCAGCCTAAAAGTAAAGTTATATTCAATATTCTTAACCGGAAATATACGGTTTTTAAAATTAGAATTGACTTGTATTTTCTATTTTCTTTTCATTTTCAATTGATGGATTGTAGAAAAAGGAATACTCATGAAACGTGAAGGTGGAGGTAACTTTCCAAGTCAACGATGGCATTGTAAGGGAGGGATAGTTGTCACATTAAAGGAATGGACCGCAATTTTTAAGCCCCCCTTTCATTTTCATTTCTGTAATATATGAGAGGGTCTTACTTAAATAATTGTTACTGTTTCTAAGGTTAAAAAAGGTTGCTGTATTATTTTTTGAGGGGGCTAGAGATCTTGATTGAATGATAGATATGAATATAAACAGTTTCATACTTAAAATTCCACATTTCAAGCATATGAAATACTAATATTATCGACAATAAGACACTTAGTGATGCGCGATGTTATTACATGGTATATGTTTCACTATGGAACGTCTCCCAACAACTCGAGTTATTTAAATCAACTGATTTTCGACATGGCATCAGAGCCTTCTCTCACTGAGAGATCTTGTGTTCGAATCGCAACGACCCCCATTTATTAAGCACATGGTATTCAGACCTGTGCAAACTTCAAGCCCTTGTGAGTGACTTTCGTTTGAGAAAACGTGTTAGTGAGTGTTATAAGATCCATTACTGAACACTCTTCGAGTTATTGGGATCAACCATGTTCTTGATATGGTATCAGAGTTTTCTGTGACCGGAAGGTATTCTGTTAAACACATGATTTCCGAACCTGTGCAGACTTCAAGCCCCTTTATGGTGACTTTCGTTTGAGGGATGTGTCAATACATGGTATAAAATCCACTATGGAACCTCTCCTAACAACTCAAATTATTGGAATCAACTGGTTTTTTACACATGAATCCGCGTATAATCATTTAACTACAATTGACAATATGTTGAAGATTCATCATCAAACGATTTCATAATTACCATGGTGATGATTTCATATTTTGAATCGTTAGTGTCACAGAAATGCAGTGAGATTTTATGACCAACATTAGTATAAGCAGCCGGATGACGGTATCAAAACAATGGTGGGTAAAAATCAAAATTAAAAAATCCTCCCATAACTTATTGGATAGTGAACTTTCGAATTGCGAGAAAGGAGAATAGGCAGAGCTGATCAACAACATCGTCTGCAGCAGTGCAAATCTTTCGAAAATCAACTTCACACTTTAAGAAAACAAAAAAAAAAACAATTAATGACGCCGTGTTCCAGAAAACCCGTCATTTTGATTTGAAGAAATTTAGCTAGAGGGAAGGTAGCTAAAAAAAAAAGTCAGTCTTCAATTTCTCGCCATGACATATTTTCCATGCATTGAACAACGAATCCATACAACAGTCTATAGAATAGATGGTCGGTCGTCTCATTTCATTTCAAACCCCCCAGCACAGCCGTACGTTCAAAAGTCTTGACTTCTCTGACCGACGAATCACGAACAATCTCTCTCTATATATATATATATGTACATATCGATTATGATCCCATGAAAATCTTCTCCTCATAACTTCCCTCTAGCTAGCTTATCTATCTAGTAATTAATGGAGGTTTTAGCAGGAGAAGTGCTGAGCGAAGATCAAGTCTTCGAGTTCCAAGAAGCATTTTGCTTGCTCGACAAGGATGGCGACGGTAATACCTACATAACATATAAATATATATATAAAATCACCTTCTTTTTAGCTAGTGATTGATCTGAGATATGTATGTGTGCGCGCAGGTAGGATTACGATCCAAGAACTGGGAACGTCAATCCGGTCGTTGGGGCTGCATCCGTCGGAAGGAGAGCTGAAGGAGATGATGAGGCAAGTGGACGTGGAAGGGAAAGGGAGCATTGAGTTTGGGGAGTTCTTGGGATTAATGGCGACCAAGATGAAGGAGAACGAAGCCGACCAGGAACTCAGGGAAGCTTTCAGGGTGTTTGATAAAGACCAGGATGGCTTCATTTCACCAAACGAGGTAAGTAATTAAGGTAACCATCTCGATGAATATGTATAAGTTGATGGATTTTCATGGAGTTGGATCTCACTCTTTGTTTGAGGTTTTGCCTTTCTCCATAGCCTTTGGTTGTAAGTTGACTATTCTTTTTGGTCTGGTTTTGACTTATTCTGGAAGTCTTGTACCGGAAATCGGGGATGGATCCTGAGAATAGTATGCATATCTTAGTTAGTTGGCATGGGAAAACATTAAAGTATCATTGAATTAATTTTTTTGTTTAATAGGGAAAATAAAAATTCTGGTCATCGATTATAGAAACAAAAATATATAAGAATAAATTCCGGTCTTCTTTTTCAGCTCAGCATTTTTTTGTTCCCACCCTAATTAATAGGGAACAACTAGCATCCACCACATTTTTTTTTTTATAACCCAAGAACCTCAACCCCACGTTGCACTTTGTAACTGCGGGAACACCACTAGGATCTCATTATGCCTCTGGGAACACTCATCTGATGGCTTGGAGGATCGAACATGGGGAGCTGCCCCTCCCAAGTCGTCACTTTTCTCCGCACTCACACCAGTTGGGCTATGTGACCTTTGGCCCTCCACCACATTCCGAGTTGGGACTGCAACCAAATCAATAAAAGGAAATTTCAAATTGTATTTTTCCAACATATTTTCTTTTATTATTATTACGGGGGATGAATATTGTTTTTATCTGTAGTTGCAAAGCGATCTTTGTTAATTTAACTGATTCTATGAAATCTTGTGTTGCGTGAAAATGCAGCTGAGGCACGTTATGATGAACGTAGGGGAGAGAGTGACAGATGAAGAGCTTGAACAAATGGTCAAGGTAGCAGATTTGGATGGGGATGGCCGGATTAATTATGAAGAATTCGTCAAAATGATGATTGCTTCCTTCTGATAATATACATAAAGCTAAGCTATAGTGTAGAGTAATCTCATTATCATGTATTTCTATTGCACTACACAAATGAGGATCTAAATATCCGGAAATTTTAATGATCTATGTTTATGTACAAAAATCTTATTGTACAATTTTTCTATTTCAAAAATATAATAGCATTTGTATCATAATTCATAACTATGTTATTCATTAGATCACTCATATTATCGAGATAAAGATAGACGCAAAAGTCTCTAACCTCAAAATGACTGCAGCGAAGAAAAAATAAATCAAAACCCACCAACCACTATAGAGACAATGAAAGGGCTACTCGTGCTATTATATATAAGGAAAACCATATGAAGTAACACGACCTACAAAACAAAGACTCTAACTAATGAAGTAAACAGCGCAAATCACTAATCTCTAGGAAGATATATAGCACCTTCTCGAGCATTGAACTACTCTCCATTACAGACTTCATCCAAAAGTACTTGAGCATCCCAAAAGAAGGTCATCAAGGTCCAACCCTGTTTGCACACTATCACACTACATCTCACACAACCAGATGCTCCAAGAGAAATGGATCATCTATCCCCTAATAACACTTAGCCTCATAAGCAAGAACCGAATCTACGATATCCCGAATTAACCATTATCCATCCCCATGTGAAATATTGAACCAACTAATTACAATGCGGGAAGCTCACTCATGCAATGATTCCCCCTAATTAACCACTAGCCAGATTGGTGATTAATGGTTCTCTAACTTCGTTCACTCTTTGTTCATAATACAGAGAGTCCTTAACAAGGCCCTACTTTCGATTGCCTACATGGACTTTATCCTCAACTAAGACAACCGACCAAGAAACTTTGAACGAACTCCCTCTACTGGATTAATATACAATACAAAGTAATGAATCGACTCACTCTATTGGATTAATATACAATGATTCCCTGCTTCCAATCGATGCTTTCTCTATCAACCTAATCATATATTCTCTCTTCTTGGTCAAAGCGTAAATCAATAATACTTTATCAAGGAAAATTTGATTCAATATCCATGAAAATATTGGATATGAACTTGAGCTTAACAAGTCAGAGAAATCATACAATCATCAATCCAACAAAGAAGATCAAATCATGGAGAGCGCGGAAACTGACATATGCAGGCAGGCTGCAGCTCACTTCATCAGTTTTTTATGGGGTTGTTCAGTATTGGTTGCAGATCATTATCCTTCCTCATATTATTCTGAAGAAGATATAGAAGCTATGTGTTGACTTTTTATCGCAAGGGATGAGTCATGAAGAGCATAAGTTTCTTGGGAAAGATTGACAAAACCAAAGAAAGATGGTGGCTTGGGTCTTCGAGACTTGATTATTTGGAATAAAGCTTGTTCTTTGCATGCTATGGTTACTCCTTATGAACCGTGGAGCATTATGGGTGGCCTGGATGCAAGAGTATCACGGCAAAATATATGATATTTGGTCCTTCAAAGCAAACTACTGATGTGTAGAAAACATACAAGTGATAAAATAATTCTAGATATGCCTAGGATCGTATTCCATAAGGTCTTTTAATAGTAACTACTCAAACCTAACAACTTGAATTTGAGTACGCAATGCAATAGAGTAAATGAAGTGGGTTGTGGTGCCCAAAAATTTTGAGTTCCTAAGCTACTAATGCAAGAAAGAAACGAACAAAGATGTAAGCAATAAAGTAATGATTAGGTACGTAGCTCCTTATAGATAATCTTGCATACAATATCCTCAATAAGATGCATCTATGCATCATCTACTATAATGACATATCCCTTCCTCTAAGGTCACTCTCTACCTGAGCATGTGCCTCTTGCGATAGAGATTTGACTAGTTAATGTGTGCTTTGGCTTCATGCCTTCACACAATCAATGAAGAATAAGGAAGTTAGGATGAATATCCTAATTATGGACTTATGCAAACCATAATTATAACCTATAGCATCGATGATGTAAGAATCATCATTATCCTTCATTATGAATATAAGGGTAGTTAATCCTCCTAGGCACGCTATGCCTACTACAAGAGATTAGTTTCCTTGTTTGCCACAATAGTAGTATAAACAATGACTATAGTAGCATCATAGTAGATTCACATGCATAGAATAATTAAAACATCATATGAAATAAAACATCTGTGATCATACGGAAGAGATGATTAAAGCATCGCAATTACACTAAAGCATATAAAGGCATAAACATTGATGATCATAACATGAAATGATATAAGCATCTTACGAACGCTTAGAAAGTAATACACAATCATCATAGAATTGACATCCCTAAAAATATCGACTAACAACTCAAACAAGAGGGGAAAACATCACCATAGGTACATGCATAAATGATGAATGCTTCCCCTCTAAATCTCAATATGAATTATCCTCCTTTATGGATGGCTACTTGTCCCTAGTGGGCCAGAGTGCTGGGTAAAAGGTGTCTACAACTGTAGGGTTGTGCCTCTATTTATACTAGTTACACAAGGGGTTTTCTAGTCTTTTTCCTCATAAATTCGACCAAAGTCGTCCTTATAACTCAAATTCCTTCGACTTGTGGACGAATTTACTTGCAAAGGAAGCTTCTTGGAACGCTAGAGCAAAGCGGCGGTCAATGGTTGGTTGGACCCGCTGCTCTTGTTTCTTCTTCAAAACGACCCATTTTTTGTGGGAAACTTCCTCTTTGGATCATGTGCATGTTCCTACAATTTTTGCTCATATGGACTTCTTTTGACATGTTTGCTCTTCAAAATACTATCATTTGTTCCATATCTTGAGCTTCCAATGCAGAATTCATCTATGTTTAGGCCCATGAGTTTGTTTCTTTAACCTCCTTCTGATCCATTAGGTTCCTTGATGATTCAAATTCGTCTTGAGTTGTTTATACCTTTGAAAAGTACAAAACAACATCATAAATTCATCAAATAGGTCTATCCAAATAGTTATAAATTCTATATAAAATATATTCAACGCCACTAAAGATGCATTAATAGAATGGGGTAATCTATCAAATATTCGGCGAAACACTATATATGAAGTGTCATCAGAACTACCCCACACTTAAAATTTGATTGTCCCCAAGCAAACACTGCTACAATCACACAATGAAAGCTAAGAAGCATCACTCAATTTGAGCACATTCTAAGACGACATTTCAATCAACGAGGATTATACTAAAGTTCATTCTCTCCATGTAACCACTTCACTCAACGATTAATGCTCTCCATTCGACACCCCTCTATAGCATTGACCCTCCACACATATCAAGGAAAAGAGTTAAACAATCCCCTATGCGTCAGTAGTATCACAAAAACTACTCTTGCTCGGTCGCCGGTAATAAAAAACAAAATCTATTTGTACTAAATAGGACGATTCGGCAAGCAAAATCATAAAGAGAGAGACTCCCATTGTCAAAAAGGATGTGATGTGCTTAAGTTAAAATAAATTTTGTGAAAAGTTTACCCATACATTTTTACACTCTCGTTCTTAGTTGATTACTTATGATTGATGTGAGTAAGCCTTAATGTCCTTATGAGACATGCATCTCAGTGATGTGGTTGCATGTTTTTATTAATTGTTGCACTTAAGTTGTTAGGTACTTGCTATCGAGAATGAAGAAATGATTAAAGCGGCGCGATTACACTAAAGCATCTAAAGGCATAAGCATCAATGATCATAACATAAAGCGATATAAGCATCTTATTAACGCTTAGAAATAAATACACAATCATCATAGAATTGACATATGTTGTTATCGTTGCAAGGATAATGGTGTAGCTGCAAATTCTCCATCAAAGACAACAAGTACCAAACTTTTAAGTTCATTACAATCTGTAATTTTGCAGATTCATTGTGTTAAAAAATGCTAAGTTCCGTAGCCTATTCATTCATTCATTCATTCATTCATTCATTCATTCATAAGGTGGTGCTTGAGGGACCAAATTTCATTATAGTAGCAGCTCCTTTAGTCCCATAGACTATGATTCTAATGATTATTGAGCAGAAAACATTTAGCACAAGCATGCAAACTAGTTCATAGAGTTGTGAAAAAGGAAAAAAAAACCGATGCAGCTCATGACTCATTCATATAAGAACTTTAATATTAATCATAGGAGTCTACATAAGCTTGAATCAAAGCAATTTAAAGGGGGCAAATCATAAGCTTGAAACAATAAGCTTCCTCTACTCTGTCCCAAAACAAAACATGCAGCAGCCAAATTCAAAAAAGTAAATTTCCAACCCATCCCATACAAAAATAGAGTTAGGGAAAGAGAAATATGATGCACATACTTACTATGGGTTAGTGGAAATAGAGCTGCACAATCTGGTAGAGCACCCTGAGATTGAAGCCTGCAAAGAGCATTGAGCTTGTCGAACTTGAGATTGCAGCGTGCAGAGAGAACTACCAGCAACATGACCTGAAACAGAGAAACCAAAAGAAAAAAGAGTATGACAAGGAATAACAGAACTAGTGAGACACAATCACATAGCACTACGACACAACATGGCCTGCAATCAACTAGCCAAGTTTGCTAAGCTACAAGCTTGCTCGGCGAATTGCAGCAACAACTTTGAAAAAATTATAGTAGCAAACATCAAACATTTGCAAGCAATCAACTCAGTTCCTTCAAATTGAACGCAAAAACAGAATATATATACAAATTGCCAAGCTTCCTAACAATACTGATCCCTACAGCTTACCAAATGAACATGGTAGCCAAAAAAGACCATGCAAAATCAGAGGAGTCCATAGAGATAGCTCAACATTTAACCGTTCAGTAACCAGAAAGCTAAAATATGGTCATTCAAAAGGATCAGTAACCAATAACCCTTACATGATTATATAGCAGTCACCCATCAAAATTAATCTCTTTCGAGAAAAACATCATTACCCAATGACAACAAGCACATCAAACCCCTAATTTGGAGCTTAAAGATCCTGATAGATCTCGAATGTGATATCCTGATCCAAAACAAACAGCATGTAACCAATTAAAGAGAACTCAAACCAAAGAAACAATTAGGTCAAGCCAAGCACGAAGCAGTTTAGG